CAACCAACCAACCAACCAGTCAACCAACCAACCAACCAACCAATCAACTAATCAACCAACCAACCAATCTAGTCAACTAACCAACCAACCAGTCACCCAATCAACCAGTCAACCAACCAACCAACCAGTCAACCAACCAACCAACCAATCAACAGTAAATATGCCAAAATTAACCTTTTGTGGACTAGAGGTTCCACCCTTCCTGAATATTCTAGAATTTTAGAAGCAGAGTCAGTGGATTAAAGACCTGCAGCAATTCCTTGGGTGAAGTAGTCTTCATTAAAATGCAAATATGCCTGGAAAGGCACCCTGCCTTAGTCACTCTCACATTCACTACCTGCTGCCTCCTGGAGAGACACTTTTAACATCATTGTGGTTGACAAGTTAACCCTAAAAGGACAGAGACTCAGAATGTGTGTTTTAGATATAGGGCCAGAAGAAAAGAAAGCAAGTGGGGAAAAGTCTGAAGTGAGGAACTGTCCTGCACAGGGAGGGAACACTGTCAGGACATGGAGCCTATGAGAAAGAAGAGGCGGTGAAATCATAAAGACAGACCTGACAATTTCATCATTTGTCTCTGGCCATCTCTAGGCCCTGCTCTGCTCTGTAAATACTCATTGCTAAATGTGCAGACTCTTTGACTGAGAAGGAGTGACGAGCGATGTGAGCTTCTACTGAATGTGTGGATGAATAGCTGAATGTCATCTAAATTTCAGGGCCGGTCTTGCCCCCCAGCTTGATAGTTCTACACCTGTAAACACCATAAACACAACACTGAGAGCTTTATGATTAAACTTGTGCCTACTTACACCGTTCGGAAGGGACTTGCACTCTGGACTTAGGAGTGGAAATTTCTCCTTGGAACAATTAGTTTGTACAATTGAGTAGGTAACTTCGTAGTTCCATCCTTTCACCACCTGCAACAATTTTGGGTTGAGTATTTAAAGTCTGATTTAAGCATTATTCACAGTGATATGGAAAACAATATAGTTACTATAGTTCCTTAATTAATCACCGGTATTCTATCCTCTCTTAGGCTGCAGAAAGGAAATGCTTTGTTGAATTTTGTGAAATACTTTGAAGATACCAAAGTATAGTATAACAACTATTGATAATCTCCTACCTCTTTTGTCTGTAACTCACTATTATTTGTCTATATGTATTCCTGAGAAACTATCTTGTAGATAACAATATGTAAAACAATAACCATTGATAATTTCCTACCACTTTGTCTGTAATTTGGTACGCCCCCCCATTATTATGTTATCCTTCTTTTACTCTTTAAAATAAAAATAAAAAAAAAATAAAATAAAACTTCTCTAAGCTGTTAGAGTGATTTAAAAAAATGAATTTTGTGAAATAATAATCCTCTTCTACATGAGAAAACTTTGGAGCTGGAGTGACCTTTAAGGTTCTTGGGATACCAACTGGTGAGGCTTCTCCTGTTTTATTGTGGGCTGGCCCTGCTCTGACAGCAATAAGTGGACATAACTGAATAAGACATGCATCTTGCATCCAGGCAAGTCCCAATCTCTGTTAAATCCAGAGACTTTTGCTGACCAAAGTTAATTGCTCATAAGAGGCTGAAATACAAGGGACCCAGTCAGCTATCAGAAAAAACATGCCATGAAGACCAGATTATTAGGTGTCTATTTTTTCCACACCCCCATGATAGGAGAACTATAATTTAGGGAGTACCCAGACAGTCATGCCGACTGCTTTAGACATAATTTAGTATGTGGAGACCGTGCTTACCTTATGATAGCAAGATGATGAAACAGATTTTTTACAAACTCCAAAAGATGAGTACATACTTGTTTTTTGTTTTTTTTTTGTCTTTTTGAGACAGGCTCTCACTATGCAGTTCAGGCTGAACTTGAGCTCACTTTGTAGCCCAGGCTGGTCTCAGATTTGCAACGTTCCTCCTGCCTCAGCCTCTGGAGTGCTGATAATATAAATTTCTTGTAACCCCAAAGCCAGAATGACTTTTCCATCTCATCATCTCCAGGAAGATCACATCATGTGGGTATTCACTCATTAAAAACATACTTCAGAGGAAGAGAGCATGACTGACCACCCCTGCCCTTTCCATACTGCACTACCCTCCTCACTTTGACCAAGGAGGAAACCCTTTGCTGTCTGCGTTATTCACAGGAGATGCGGAGGAGCGTCTCCCCGCCGGCCGTGCAAACCTACATGCTCCTCCCACTACTAGTTTAGACCCATTTCTCGGGAACATTTCAAGTGCGTGATATCACGCAGCGTTACTTTGACATTACTTAAAGTATCTTCAGTTATAAAAGCAATACATGAATTTATCCTTTTAGAAAAACAAAACATTATAGATACATACTGTAGGGTAGTACAATATGTAAAAGGGGACAGGTGACTAATCACACCCTCTTCATTATTTAGTTTTCAGTGTTGAATGTAAAGGTACAACAGATTTGTGTGAAGAAAGCCAACCTGTCTTTGGGCTCTTTTCACTTCTCCGAGCGTGAAGAGGTAGGTGTGCTCCGTGTTGTTGTTGAAATGTTGGACGGCGTGTGTCAGAATGGGCTTCAGCTCGGGGCTCTCGGTGGAAATGGGGTGCACACAGCCCAGGCAGGCATACTCGGTGGTCACCACAGGGCCTTCCGCTTCATGAAGAGCAGACAAAAAGGCAGAGTTAACACCCAGAGTCAGCAAGTAGACACATCATCTTAAAGCCAAGGAGATTACGGATAAACACGCTTTCCAGGAAACCTTACACAGATTACAAAAAAGAGACTACAAGATTGCATTTTAAAACCAGAGGAGCCAGCATGGTAGCACACGCCTGTAATCCCAGCACTCGGAAAGCTGAGGCAGGAGGATTGCTGCAAGTTCGAGACCAGCCTAGGCTACATAAGTGAGCTCAAGTCCAGCCTGAAATGCGTAGTGAGACCCTGTTTCAAAAAAGACCAAACAAAAAAAACCTCAGAGGAAAAGAAATCACTCAGGAACATTTCATATGCACAACATATGCACGTTATTTTAAATGTATCTTCAAGTATTTTTAGCTATAAAAGCAATACATGAATTTAGCCTTTTAGAAGAATTTACAACATTGCCAATACATTGTTATTTATTTTTCAGTATTAATGGAATTTCCTTGAAGCTTGACGCAGGGTTTAATATATTTCGTGTCAATCTGATGCCCTCTGCCATTAGAGAAGTAAAAAGAGGCCAAAGACATGTTTATTTTGCAGTTTTTCACGTCACAGCATTGATAAAATTTGTTGGATTTTTACATTAGGGTTTCTTGGGGGTTTTTTGGTACTGGGAATCGAACTCAGAACCTTGCACTTGCTAGGCAGGCGCTTGTGCCACTGAGCTATAGCCCCAGCCCACATTTGGGTTTCACCACCTAAAATAAACCATTAGCGGAAGAAAACGCTAAACAGTTGCATGGCTGGCAGGAGGAGCTGCTCTGTGTCTTCCTGTGAGTCGCACTGAGGCAAAGGTGTGTAAGGAAGTGCGACGTGCAAGGGAGAGACAGTGGCCAACCGCACGCCCTCCTTCGAAGCTCGCGCCTGCTGCAGTACACCAGGTGCTGCGCTGGGTGGTGTGGCAGCGTTAATGTGCTAGGAATGGTCACTTCTCTGTATTCTTTTTTTTTTTTTTGATACCGGGAATCGAACTCAGGACCTTGCGCTTGCCAGGCAGGCGCATGTGCAGCTGAGCTATGTCCCTGGCCCTGGTCACCGCTCTGAAGGAGGTGACAGCCGGTGGGAGAGACAGAACGGTAGCTGGGTCACCTCAATATGATCCAGCAAGATCTTGGAAAGACAGGCACCCAGAGTGTCGTCAGGGAAGACTAAGAAAAAGTTGAAGATGCCGGAGATGAGCAGGATAAAGGTGATAGGCGGTGTCAATATGGGGTGTGAGGCGCTGGGGACAGAGAGGGAGGGAGGGCTCCTGAGAAGCACGGTGAGTGGGGGCCTGGCAAAGGCAGGAACACATTTTACCAAAGCTTGGGGAACCGTGGGTAGAGGTGGTGCTGCGCCGCTGAGCCTGGGCCTCCCTCTAGGCCAGGAGCTGCTGTGTGCAGAGGTCACTACATGTTGGGAGGCCGTGGGCATCTTGCGGCCTCCTCCCCAGGCAAATGCACACACTCAACATTGTCCTTTTAATTCCGGGATATTCAGGGGCACTCTGAAGCAGATGGAGAAAGGCCTGCTGCAAGGCAGGGGGCATCAGGGAAGGGATTCTGACAGAGCGAAGTAAAATGTTTGCAAAGGAGTTTGTAATAAATTGTATTACAAACAGTGCTTATAACGGGGAGCCTAACCTGCTGGGCGGTAAGGGCAAATGTGCAGAAAGCGGGCTATGGCTACAGGAAGCTGCGTCCCTGGAGAGAGAGGCGCCAGCTCAGCTTCTCCTCAGCAAGTAGACGCAAAGACGCAAACACAATCAGAAGGCTACCGTGCGGGGCAGCCCTGCCCCTCAGTGGTCCGCGGCTGGGCACAGCCTCCTGCCCTGTGGATTTCCTCTCCAAGTGTCAGAAACACATTTCCTGCGTGAGTAACACGGCTTTCTCTCCACTCCTCCCAGAAGCTTATGCAGATTTGGGGGAATGGGCCCAGTTAAAAAACTAAAGGGGAATTCCATGGGAGAGGTGGGAGAATCACCGGTGATTACTGAAAAAAAAGAAAAAACAGTGACTCCGGGAAAAGGGGAGAAGGCCAGAAGACCACGGAAGTTTGCCTCATCTCAGGCTGGCTCAGCTCACAAGGCAAGCGCGGGAGAGGAGGACGCCTTCAGACGCTGAGAAGAGTAGAGAAAGATGTGTGTTCAGTCTTTCCGGGCCGATAGAGTGATTTCCCATTCTACAGAGATTTTTGTGTCTCTCCCCTTGTCTCCAGGGGTGCGGGTGTGTGTGCTCAGGTTTGTCGCCCGACACTGCCTAGGGGACATTCTTTTTGTTTTATTTTGAGACAGGCTCTTGTTAAGTTCTCCAGGCTGGTCTCAAAGTTGCCACCTTCAAAAGTAGTTGGGATTACAGGTGTGCACCCTTATACCAGGCTTCTGCTGAGATTTTTTTTGTTTTTTCTTGGTCTTTTTGAGACAGGGTCTCGCTGTGCAGTTCAGGCTGGCCTTGAGCTCACTTTGTAGTCCAGGCTGGACTCGAACTCACAAGGATCCTCCTGCCTCAGCCTCCTGAGTGCTGGGACTATAGGCGTGTGCTACCACGCACAGCCAGAGTTATTTTTAAAAATCAGAATAAAGATTTTTAATCTCTTGTGATCTCTTTTCTGTCTTAGACTGTTTTTCTTTTCACGCAACCTCTCATAAGATCCAGAACTCTAGGGATACAACTTTGCGGGCTCCGAGCAGATAACTGAGGCCAGGGCATCTAACACTTGGCACTGTGCCGACGTACGGCGGTGCCGCCGACGCTGTAAGCCTCACACACTGGAACTCTGCTGGCAGAAGGCCAGTTCCCGGGAGGCCTTGGTGACTGCCGGCGCCTGGATTTGCCTGTTCCTCTGTACTTGGCAGAGCTAATAGTAGCTGTATCTTTTGGCAAGCTGCTTCCTCATTATATTTTTAAGGAATTGCATTTGTTGAGGGTCTACTCTACCAAATCTACTACTATGTGGGATCTTGGGCAAGTTACTTAACTGTCCTGGGGGTCACTTTCCTTACCTGAAAAATAGGGATATTACAGCTAGTGCAGTGGTTAACACCTGTAATCCCAAAAATCTAGAGGTGGGCTGAGGCGGGAGGATCACAAGTTCGAGCCCAGCCTGGGCAACGCAGTGACCTAGGGAGACCCCTTCTGTAAGTGAAAACTAAAAAGGGGCCAGAGCTACAGCTCAGCATGGAGGTTCTGGGTACAATTCCCGGCACCACAAAAAGTATGCAGGGGGGGATATTAGTATCTACCCCATGGAGTTGTGAGGACTAAATAAATACATGTAAAGAGCATAGATCCACGGCTGGCACATATGTAGGTGCTTAGTACAAGCTATTATTTTAATGCAGATTTTCATTAGTATATTATCACAATCTCTAGGCTTTGTGCCTTCAGGCGATGTCTCTTCAGTTTTGTAGAGCGCTGTCAAGTGGGGAAAAGCGAAGAAGGGGAAAGGAACTCTGAAAGACTCAGGCCCGGGCTGACCTCTGGCCTACGGGCTCTCGCATAGGACAAGTCTACAACGGAAGACAGGCCGGGGCCTTCTCATCCACTGGGAGGCCCCTGCCCACGCCTGATACACATGGCAAATAGGAAGACAGAGCTCTGAGGGGATGATTGGCACATGCCTGGCCCTACTTCACGCTCCGGCAGCCCCACCTGGGTACCTGTGCCCCCCCAACCCTGCACTGTGCCCTCTGCCAGAGGGTAGCAGCCTGGTGTCAGCTGTTTCTGGCAGACAGAAATAGTTACCTCCTCCCTCCATGCGGGGCGGGGCCCCAGTCACATCAGCTATACCTGGGGTAAGGTGGCAGGTCTGGGTGGCCACAACGAATCTGTTATTTCTTCTCTTCCCCACGGTTGCTGTGCATTCTCCAGTGGCCTAAGAGGAAAGAAAGAGGACATTTACCCTAACCTTTCCAGTGGAGGGAGTCCACCTGGTACCAATCCTAAACACGACTTTCTGTAAAAAGAAGGGAGGAAGTGTTTTTTCTAAAAAAAGTTTTAGAATGAATGACTTTTTTGGTAATCTAGTGATGTGATTTTTTTTTTTTTTAATCTTTTTGAGATGGGGTCTCGCTATGCAGTTCAGGCTGGCCTTGGGCTCACTTTGTGGCCCATGTTGGTCTTGTACTCCCAAAAATCCTCCTGCCTCACCCTCCCAAGTGCTGGGATTTCAGGCATGTGCCACCACACCCAGCAGGTTTTTTTGTTTTTTTTTTTTTTTACATGCCACTGATATTCATGAGACAGCAGAGGGGAGGCTGTGTAAATGGTGAGGAACCGTCAGTGTTTGTTTAGAGCTCTGGAAGTATTTCTTTTCATCCTGAGGTACACTGTACCTTAGAATCCACCTGCTAAACTCTCCACTTGATCTACTTCTCCATCGCAGTGGATGAATACTGTTCAGATAACTTGAGTTTAACCCATCAGAAAGAGGAAGTTGGGAGCAGGAATATAGCCCAGTGACACAAATGCCTGCCTGGCAAGTGCAAGGTCCTAAGTTCAATTCCCAGTACCAAAAAAGAAAAGAACAGAAAGAGCAAGTTGGCAGTGTTGTCCAGCTCCAGCTCTGCCACTTGCTAGCTGTCCCTTCTGTCAGGTCCTTTTGCCTCTCAAAGCCTCAGTTTATACATCTTGTTCACCCCATCTAATTCATGGGGGTTTTATCCAGAGTAAATGTACAAATACACATAAAGCACCTACCAGAGACTACCACGCTATAGACACTTAATAATCCACATCTGTCCCCCTTATTGTTGAGCTGTGGCTTTTATCCCCAGCACTGGGAGTTGAAGCCAGGGCCTCAAGCATGCTAAGCAAACACTCTACCACTGAACCACAGGCCCAGTCGACCACACGAAGTTCCCCAGGCTGGGCTTGAACTTGCAATTCTACCTTCTCAGCCTCCTGAACAGCTGTGTCACTATACCTGACTTGAACAGTGTTTTGTTTGTTTTTTCCTATCATTCTTTTGTCATGCTCATTGAACTTCTAAGTGACAGACAGGATTTTACTGGGATAAAGCAATCTTCTCACTGGCTCAGCCCTGAGAGACAGGCAGTGTGGGGTACAGCATCTAATTCTTCCCATCTGCCAGGTGAGATCATCAAGGAGCAGAACCAGCCCCACAGTCCTGTTCTCATGACTGGGAGACCAGTGCTGTGTCACAGCTGCAAATGACTGTCATTTTCAAAACACAAACAGGACACTGATGTTCTGGCATAAGAGGGGAATCCACAGACTGCTAAAAGAAGTGGTTTTGGTTACTTTTCTCTCATTGCTGAGACAAAGTACCTAACACCTAAAATTAAGGAAGGAAAGGTTTATGTAACTTTCAGTTTATGGAGGTTTCAGTCTGTACTTGGCTGGCTCCAAGGCAGGGTGGCACATGGCAGAGGGCAACAGTTCATGGCAGCAGAAGACAGCAAAAGCAACAAGAGCAAAAAGGAGGAGCAGCAGCAAGCAGCCTCTTTCTCTCCCATACATTGTATGCAAACTACCTGCCCCAGGGCAGGTGTAGCACTCACGTCCATAATCCCAGCATTGGACCATGGATCAATCATAAACTCTAGAAGCCTGCCCCATGTCTGCATGTGGCTTTGGGTGGGACACCCAGCCACAAACCATAACAGAGGCTTTCTTCTCAGGCTGAGCCAGGCATATTTTAGGTATTTGGTTCAGGTAGCCCTTTGTGCACTTCATCTCATTTCATCCTCTGACAACCCAACAAGGCCCGTGCTCTCTCCCATTTTGTGGGAGAGCATCCCTGCAGAGAGCTCATGCAGCTTGCTCACCATCACTCCGCTAGCCAGAAGCAAAGGCAAGATCTGTCCTCAGGCCAGTGTAGCCAGAGCACCCACATTCTCCCCTTATCAGACCTTGAGCTGAGCCCAAATTTTGATCTGTTGTCTTTCTGGGCTGTGACTCCCATGTTCCGGTTGAACTAGGGCCGCTTCTCGTGGAAGGGCTTTCACCACGTTTAACTGTGGGCCTTGCTATGAGTTTTCTGTTTATACAAGAACACATACATCCAGCGTCTGAGTTATCTGCACATTGAAAGGTTTATGTGCATCCTTAATAAAAAGGCTCAGCAATATTAATTATCCCCATACGAGTAAAAAGAAACCCACAACTGCTGAATGGGTAAAGAAAATGTGACACACATGCACAGTGGAATACTGTTCAGCAGTAAAAAAGGTAAAATCCTGTCATTTGAGCAACCAGAATGGACTGGAAAACATGTTTGCTGAAGTACGTTCAGCACAGAAAGATAAACACTGGAGACTCACTCACATGTAGACACTAAAAGGGTTGATCTCTCATGAACAGAAACCAAACTGCGTGGGAAATACTTCAAATATCAACAACTGGGATCTCATCCTACTGAAAAGTTTCTGCACATCTAAAGAACTCGCCAGCAGAGTAAAAAGAAAACCTACAAATTGGGAAAAAATTTTAGCTGACTGTCCCTCAGACAAAGGTCTTCTGTCTAGAACATACAAAGAATTAAAAAACATCAGCTCCCTGCAAATTTAAAGACCCAATCCAAAAATGGGCATCTGAGATGAATACACACTTCTCCAATAAAGAAATACAAATGGCAAACAGATACATGAGAAAGTGTTCAATATCATTAGTCATTTGAGAAATGCAAATTAAAACATTGAGATTCCACCTTACCCCAGTAAGAATGGCTAGCATCAAGAAATCAACCAATAACAAATGGTGGTGAGGCTGAGGAGAAATAGGAACCCTTCTCCACTGCTGGTGGAAATGCAGACTGGTGAACTCACTGTGGAAATCAGTTTGGAGATTCCTCAGCAAACTAGGACTAGAGGTCCCATTCAACCAAGCTATTCCCCTTCTGAGTATTTTCCCAGAAGATCTGATAACATCATATCAGGGCAATATATGTGCACCCATGTTCATAGCTGCGCAATTTGTCATAGCTAAATCATGGAAGCAACCCAAATGTCTATCCACTGAGGAATGGATAAAAAATTGTGGTACTTTTATATAATGCAATATTACTCAGCTATAAAGAAAGATAAACTTGAGGCTTTTACAGGTAAATGGTCACAACTAGAGACCATACTCATAAGTGAAATAAACCAGAGTTCCATGTGTAAGCAATGTATTGTCTCAGTAGTGTAAGAACCTGAAAGAGTGAATAAAAGTTAGGAGCTATGATAGATATTGTGAAATGAAAGGAAAATGCTCAAAAGTAAAGAGCAACTGGGATGAGGGAAAAGAGAAAAGAAAGAAGGGGAAATTATGCATGTATGCATATACAAGATAGCTAACATAGTTGTACTGCTGACTTCTATTGCTTTACTGAATGGATCAGTTAATGATTAATTGTTTGATCCATCTTGCATGTTTCTATTTGTTTTCCTGAGAAACCACTTTGAAGATATCAATATGTAATACAACAATCATTGTTAACTTCCTACCACTTTGTCTGTAATTCAGTATTGCTTGTATAGTTCTTATGTTATTTTATAAATGGACGTCTATCTGTTATTATGTTTTCCTTCTTTTATTTTTAAGATAAATTTTTTTTTTTTTTTTGGTTTTTCTCCAGTACCGGGAACCGAACTCACGACCTTGCGCTTGCCAGGCAGGCGCTTTGCTGCTGAGCTAAATCCCCAGCCCCCAAGATAAATTTTTTAAAAAGGGTTGATCTCAGAAGCTGATGGACGAACGGTGTTCTCAGAGGCCGGGGAGAGACAGCAAGGGAGGAACGTGGAGAGCTTGATAAATGGGCATTTAGTTACAGTTAGCAGAAAGAGGCTCTGGCGTGCTACTGCATAGGAGGCTGACTAGAGACAATTGCGTACTGTACCTTCCAAACAGCTAGAAGAAAAAAGTTTGAATGTTGTCATCACAAAGAAAGAATCAATGTTTGAGGAGATAGAAGTGTTTGACCTCATGTAAAACTGTAGAATATGTACATATGTATAGACTTCACATGGTGTCCCATGGATACACACAAGTCTTATGTTTCTATGTGTCAGTTTTAAAAATTAATGAATGTTTTTTAAAAATCCAGCTTTTCAGTGGAGAAAGCTGGAGGCTTGAGATCACCAACACACTTACAGCTTCCTCGGCATCCTTGTAGTCACACTCCTGCCAAGTTTTGTCACTTTGAACAGGACAGTCACCCTCCTTGACTTCATACTTGATGGAATAAAATACGTCTTCATTAACCTGAAAAAAGGCAGCCAAAAATATTTAGAGTTTATCCAACTCACCCAACAGCAAATACTTGGAGTGGATTCTGGCATAGTTATAAACATAGATCTCGATTTGATTCGATTCAAATGAGAGCCAAATATTCATAAAAATATAAATATTTACATTTTTATAAATATTTTCTTGGAAGAATATTCAAAAAGTGCTTATATTTATTTTTTATTTTAAGACAGACTCACTAAGTTGACAAAGATAGCCTTGAATTTATAATCCTGCTTCAGCCTCACAGGTAGTTGGAATTGTAGGTGTGCACCACCTTACTTGGCTACAAATACATTTTGTTAAAAGTTAAAAAGTGGTATCCATAATATTATCTTGTGTTTTATATGCCTGTATATGCATTTTAAAGGTCTGGAGAGATATACAATAATCTGCTAAAAAGCTTCTCTCTCGGTGAGATTTTAGTATCTCTCACTTTCTTCTTTAAGTAAACATTTCTAAACTTTTTGACTTTTCTTCCTAATGAACATATTTTGCTTTTGCAATTATAGAAGATAAACAACTCTCTTTTAAAAAACATGTTACCAGTTATCTCTATGGTCCGATTAAATGTAGGTGATTTTTAATTTATTTGCCTTGTTTTCTAAGCTTTCTTTTTTCCCTTTCTTAAAACAATTAAGATAAAATTTGCATGCCATACAATTCATCCACTCAAAGTGTAGAATCAAATGTTTTTTAGTATTTGTAACAATTATCATAATTCCCAGCAGCCCACTGTATCACCCCAAAGACTCCCCAGACCTGTTAACGGTTATTGGCAGTTACTTCCCATCGTCCCTTGCTTCAGCCCCGGCAGCCAATAACCTGCTTTCTCTCTCTGTATATCTACTCCACACGTCTCATCAATGGAATCATATAGCATGCAGTCCTTGTATCTGACTTCTTTCACTCTATGTTTGTAAAGCTTAGCCTTGAAGGATGTGGGATGTTATAGAATTTACCAGTACATCATTCCTTTTTTGTGTGTGTGAGCTAGGTTTTCTCAAATGTCATGCGTAAGTGTTAAGGGTGCTGAACTCTCAGAGGCAGAATCCTGGGATGTTAGAGAAATAAGGGGTCTGGGAGCGGATGCAGTCCAGCCTCTCAGTTCGTAGCTAAGAGCAGGCAGTCCCCGAGCGATCTGGGGCCTGGCTCGGGTACCTCATCCCCTCAGGAAGACGGGCCCGGCCCCAGGTCCTTCCTCTCTGTGCTCCCTCAGAATCTGCCTGGTCACATTTTGCTAACCCAGGCCTATCAAGCAGCTGCTCCCATGTGGAAAAATAAACATAAAGAAGATCACATGGACATTTTAAAGCCTAACCAGCTTTTGCCACAGACGTCAGCCAATGAAGACGGCTTGGGGGTGCTAGAGCAGGGTTCCTTATACAACCACACTGGACAGTGAAACAAAATGGCTCAATTTTCCTTTATGAGGGAAAAAAAAAATCTGTCCACTGGGTTTTTTCCCCCTTTATCTTCATAGTATCACATGGTTGGGGTTTTTTCCCGCCGTTCACTTACTAATCCAGAGACGTAGTCTCTTATAGTGAAATTGATTGGAACAAACAAACTCTAAAAAAAATTGTATTTCTTTGATCCATGCATCCTGCCAGAGAGGAAAAATGTATTACAAACCAACTCAATCTTTGCTGTTAACTTTGATGAATTCAGACTTCATGGTAAATATTTTGACTAAGCCAGCAAAACCCTGCTAATCTCATTCCTGACTCCTCGTGGACACTCCTTACAAAGAACTTCCTCCCGCTGAAGGTTTGGAGCTTTCTATATTTTTACATTTTAGTCTAGGGCCAGACACCCAAGGAATCCTCTCGCTTCAGACCGAATCCCATTCTGCTTAGCTCCCATCAAACATCTCCATTTACTGCTGTTTCAATTCATCCTAAGATACTGTTTTGCTGACCACTCAGGAAGCCAATCTTGGCTGCTGGAGGACTGGTCATACCCTGCTCTTTACCTGTAGGCCAAGAGTGGTAGCCTTTTCCAAGAGCTATAAGCTCCTACCTTTGGTTCTCTGGTAGGTGGTGGTGGTGGAAAGACAGAGAGAGAGAAAGAGACAGAGAGAGAGAAAAATGGGCAACTCATTCTGGTCCCTTTCTGTCTCTCTCTTGGACAGAAGCTTTCTTTCCTTCAACAAATATATTCTGCTCTGAGAGAGAGAGAGAGAGAGAGAGAGAGAGGACAAGTGTTGGGTTCTAAGTTAGTAGAACTCTTAGGTGTCTTCAAGGTTACACACTGCTCACTCACCGTCTTGGTGACCTCGGTTGTGCGGACCAGTACAAACTGGTTGCCACTTTGATTCTTGCTGTTGTACTTCTTCAGAGCAGCATCCACAGCCTCAAATACATCCTTGTCATTGCAATCAATTTCCTGGAAGTCTGCTTCCTGGGTTAAGCTTGGGAGCAGCCTGGAGCACAGGAGAAGGATGGCAATTAGTTTCATGATTTAATGGTCTCCCTCTAGACTCAGAGGGATGATTTTGCCAAGAATCAGGCACCAACTTGGGTGCTGACTTTAACAATCTCCAGCCTCTTATGTCCTCTGTCCTCTCTCTCTGCCCTAGCTAGATTCCTGCTGCCGGACACTGTTTGTTCTCCTCCAGAAGGACAAATGACTGCTGAATTACCTGGGCAGGTTTTGGGCTAGAACATTACAACACTGGGGTTGTTGACTTGATCCTTTGCCTTTGGAAAGTGTCAGGGAGCACAGAGCACATTCCAAGGGGTTGCACAACTTTGTATAGCAAATCAGAACAGAATATCAAGAAGGAGAAAAAACCAGCAATTAGCTCTGTTACTCCCTTGTGACTTTCCCGAAGCCATCAGTAAAGGTCACTGCATGTGTGAACAACGGCACAGTGAGTTCGGTGTGCAGATATGGCTCACGTAATTCCTTTACAGGACATCCGTCTGCATGGAAACCACTGCTATTAATTCTAACGCATGCCTGGGAAGTCCCAGCATCAAGTGAGTTGTAGGAGTTCCACCCGTGATATGGGCACAGCTGAAAGTAAACTGCAGGCATCCTGCCTGGTCTCTACCAAGCCAGCCTTTCTCTGTTCAGCAGTATCAGTTTTATAAAGGAAAATGCCCCGGTGTTCGGAGACAGCGGAAATGCATAAAAAGAGACAGCCTAAACCATCAGTGGTGACCCTTTGAGAGATGAGTGTCCCAACTGCCACCCAAAACCCACTTATTTATGGAAAAGTGCCAACACTGTGATTAAGGTGGAATCCTGAGGTTTTACTTTAGAAAAAAACCAACTCAGTGGTTAACACATTTTGTCCTATAAGAAAAACAACACACATGCCATAGGTTTGCCACCTCTGGCCTAAACCATCAGATTATTTGGAAAGACAGGCCCAACAGTAGTTCAAATTCTCAGTAAATGTTTGCCTTTCAGTCTTACAAGGAACAGGAGTGGGGGGGGGATAAAATAACAGGCTGTTGCGGATAGGCTCTCTCGGCTACCCAAGAGGCCCTGGAGAGACGGCTCAGTGTAGGCAAAGTGGTGGCCTGGCAGTGACGTGGCAGGAGCACGTACTTGGCGGTGAGTCCAGCCCAGATTCCAGTCTGACTCTGCTCCTTAACTCTGTGTGACCCCAACAAGTCAGGGTCACATCACCTTCCCACGCTGTCCTTGTAAGTTACATCTACTATTAGAAGGGAATGGTTAAGAATCCCTGACCTAATGAAGTAGCTTCAGATGCATGGTAGTGGTAGAAGACAGATTCTAATGGGGGAAGAGAGGAGGGTAATTAAGGGTGGCAGAGACGGGTAAGGTCCTGGTTGAGAGGCAGGCAGAATTGGAGAGACTGAGAGGTGAGGGGGTGAGGAATGAACAATGGTGTTCCATGCAGAAGGAGCTGTGAGGTAGGAGATTAGGGCAGGGGTAAACTGGAAGGAAATGTGCCTGATGTCAGAGTGGGGGAAGATGCGCAGAACACAGGACCCAAATAGCTCCAAGGTTAAGGCTTTTGGGTACCATTCACTGGACCAATCAGGAAACTCTATTCCTAGTCCTACCTTTGAATTCAGGGCTGTTCATGGGACCACTCAGAAGATGCCATTCCTAATCCTTCACTTAGATCTGGACATGACCAATCAAAAGGCACTATTGCTCATCCTTATTACGTCTGGCATGAGGCCAAAAGCAGTTTTTTGATAGGAACAATTGTCCCACTACCATAGTCACAGGAGGTGGGGCCAGCCCGGGTGTATCTTGGATACTAAAAGCTCTTTTCCCTTTACCAAAGGACCCTCTTGGGCCTTCTCCATCAGCTGGCTCCTGTCCTGTGGGAATGCATTTTCTTTTGCCTTCAGTAAATCTGCACCCTTGCTATCTTTTCAGTGTGTCTTGTCCAATTCTTTGTTCAGGACCCCAGAGTCCTGGAAAGAAGCCCCTAGGATCCCTGTCCAGCAACAGCTTGACAGGAAAATATGTAGGCTGGTTGTCACAGAGGTTCAAGTCAAAACTCAGAGACAACTTGGCTGTGTATTTAGACAGTATAATAAAGAATAAATAATGTGGCCCTGGAGGAGGCTCCTCAGGGTTCTAATCCCAGTCCTACAATTTACTGACCGTAAGATCCAAAGCAAGTAATAAAACTTCTTCAGTTCTCATCTTTCTTCTTTAAAACATGGTTGCTGTGCCAGCCCATCTCCCTTTCCTCCCTGGGGTACGTGTAGACTTTATGCCAGCCTTCCTTGCTTAGGTGTGGCCATACGACAGCGTGCTGGCCAGCGCAACATGAACACAAGGGATGCCTGCCACTTCCAGACCTGGCCCCTCGGAACCACTTTCATGGTCCTAGACTTTCTCGCTATGGGGGTTGGTTGCAGAGAATCCTGCAGAAAATCCTGAGGCCCAACGGCAAGGAAGAGCCACAAGACAGAAGGAGTCAAAGGCCCTGACTCACTCTGGGAAGGTCACCTTTTGGTGACTCACACTGAACTATTTATTACGTGAAAGACAATCAAATTCTGTACCATTAAAATGCTGAACCTGTTTGTCATGGCAGCTGGCCCACCTTAACACGACAGTATTACTTGTATAAGAAGGTTGTTGGTAAAAATTAAATTATAAAACATGAAAATCCATGAATGTTTACTGTATCAATTCAATACATGGACATTCTTGGACACCTACGCTGTGGTAGGCATTTAACTCAACAAAACAGTCAAAATCTATGCTGACATAGGTCTACTGGGGATAAAGAAACAAAAATAATTTATAAATATTTCTGGTCTTTAAGTCTTGAAGAATGGTCATATCATTGACAGAAGAGGCCATGCTAGAAAGGAGAAGAAATTTTCAGGGAGGGGTAAGGATTATGGAACCTAGACGTTTGACAAATGTTAACATCACTTTAAATAAGATACTTGCAAATAAACACTCACATACCTGTTAGCCATCATGATGTAAAAACCCTACAGAAATAACCATCAGTGGCATGTTCTCTGAAATGTCTAATAGATTGAAAGCTCCCTGTGGTAGAAATGCTTTTTTATTTTTACTAATTTATTCAGTGCAGCCACTGTATTTGCATAAGATGAACACATTTACTTAAAATGAATTGCTTTCAATTCTTATACTTTCTTAGTTTTATTTTTGAGTTTTTAAAAATTTTTATTAGCTCATGTGCATGGTACATCATGATTACATCTATTGCGGGGAGCTGGCGCATGCACATAACTTGTGTCCATCTTCTTTTTACTTTTCTTTCTCTTCCTGTCCCTCCCACCTCCTTCCACCCTTTGGTCAATTCTTGTGTTTTCTTTTTTTTTGGTACCGGGAATCAAACTCAGGACCTTGTGCTTGTCAGGCAGACACTTGTGCCACTGAGCTATATCCCCACCCCTTAATTCTTGTGTTTTCATGAACTCAAATAATGTTTGTGAAAGTACTTTATAAATTATAAAACAAATGCTTCTAAGAGAATAATACTTTGAGTTATTGATCTCTGCTTTTTTTTTAATTTAAAAAAGAAAAAAAAGAACAAAAAGGAAGAAGGGGAAAAAACCAATTAAAAAAAAAAGGGGAAGAAAATAACAAAGGGTGGTGGTTTTTTCCTTTTTTTTTTGTCTCTCTGAGCTTCATCTTCCTCATAGCCTCCTGAGACAGCTCACCGGGGAAGAACATTGTTTGTCCAGGCAGTGTTCAGCCGGTGCCTATCAGTATGGCCGCAGTGGTTGTTTATGCGTGGCAACTGTTCTGATTGGTTGTCGTATCTGGCCTGACTGGTCAGTGCTTATACCATTGGTCACTGAATACTTAGAGTATCCATCACCACTGTGGCTGGAAAGTGGAAAGAATCTGAAGTCTTATTACCTTGTTTTTAATGCATGAACTCTGATTGGGAAGAAGGGAAAAGAAAGAGGTCTAGAGTGTGGAGAAGAGTCTTTGGCACCAGGCAAATGAATAAAGTGAACTTATGCGAGACCAGAAAGACATGCTCTAGCCTAGGGAGAAGACAGTAAGGTCTGCGGTTCCTGAGACAGAGGAGCACTCTGCCCTCCTTCTTGGAAATGCAGCCTGGAAGACAGCAAGTTCCCAAGCAGAAAACAACCATGGTGTGTATCTCTGTAGTCCACTGTAGTCTTACAGAGATGCCTATGTTATCCCTAGACTGATAGAGAAGTAGCAGATAAACCAGCCTCAGAGTGATAAGAAGACAGTAGTGAATTTCTCTCCACGGGGGGGCACCTGATTGGTCAGTGATCAAGAATCATGTCAGGCATAATGGTGCGTGTTTGTAATCTCAGCACTTAGGAGGCTGAGGCAGGAGGATTGCCGCAAGTTCAAGGCTATCCTGAGCTATATAGTGAGATTCTGCCCCTCAAAAAAACAACCTTAACTAAACAAAAGAATCAGATCCTCCACTTGTGCCCACCCAAGTACCTCGAAACTATCTGCAGTTCTGGAACTGTGGCGCAGTTTTGTGTGGGGAGTAGTTGGGCAAAGAGGCTTCAGGAAGAGCTGGGATTAAATTTCTCATGAATATAGTAGGATGACAACCTGAAAGAGAAATCAGTTTGGTCTGAAAATAAAGTGATTTTTCTTGCATGCTTGAATTTATGGTCATGATTCATGTGTGCAATTTTCTTTGCAAATTATACCCAGACCTTTAGTGGTTTCATAATTGAATTTAGAAATTATTTTTTTCCAAGAGGAAATTTAGACAATTAGAAAAAACCAGTAGGCGACAATTTGTGTTAAGTTTATAATGATCTCTTAAGTATTAAGTCTCCGTATGAACAGTTAGAAGCTATAATTAGAGGAATAAAGTCTTAGAAAGCAGGAAATTCTGAGGCTCAGATATTTAGCTAAAATAATGCAGTGACCAGTGACAGAATTAACTTCTGATTTGTAGGACTGAGATCTTTCTTGCCATTTGTCTAACTCTTCTTGTACCATCTCCTTCCCCACTCGTATTTTGCTTTTACCCTGAGTATGAAAATAAAGATGTAATACAACTGCAATTTTCATTTATCGTCGGTCACATTTTATTCATGATTCTCACTCACAACATTATTCCTTTTTTCTCTTTTAAGGAATCAGGTTTTATTTTAAAGATGTGTATGCAAAAAATTTGGCAAGTTGTGGGAAGTCAGTCTTGAACTTCCCTGGACATGACTCAGAGGGAGGAGCTGGTTGAGGGAAGGGCTGTAGGGAACTGCTGCAGTTTGGAGATGGGAAACTGGGGAAATTGGCTTCAGGCAGAGGAAGAACTTCACCTATATTTAGTGGAGGGAGTCGGTAAACATATCCAATTTCTTTTTTATGGAAAGGAAAGCGTCCTTTACCTGGACCTCTTTCTCCTGAGTGCCTATGTGGTGGACCATGACCATGACCAGGACCATGACCATAACCATGACCAGGACCAGGACCATGACCATTACGGTGGAGATCTTTGAGAAATTGTTGATCATCTGGTGGATCACAGGGTCCATAGTCATGGAAATGATGGCCGTGGGGATGGTGTCCATGGGGATGGTGTCCATGGGGATGGTGTCCATGGGGAGGGTGTCCATGGGGATGGTGTCCATGGGGAGGGTGTCCATGGGGAGGGTGTCCATGGGGATGGTGTCCATGGGGAGGGTGTCCATGGGGAGGGTGTCCATGGGGAGGGTGTCCATGGGGATGGTGTCCATGAGGAGGGTGTCCATGGGGATGGTGTCCATGGGGACGGTGTCCATGGGGAGGGTGTCCATGGGGATCATGCTCACTGGAACTATGATTATGAGGAGGTGTGTGGGTTCTATGGGTACCAAAAGGATGGTGAAGACATCCTATCACTGGAGGAGGCAGTGGTGGTCGGTCTGATTTATTTTTCTCTTCTGGGGGAGGTGGGTATCCAACTTTATGTGGCTTGTGGGGATGATGATGATCTCTGGATCTATTTGGGTTAAATGGATGCTTCCACCTGCCAAAGTGGTGGGGATGGCCCCTGTGAGGCGGCATACCACTGACGTTTCTACACTCCTGGTAAAAGACACAGAAAAGTGAAGTTATCATGCAACCCAAAAGGAGAAGTTACATATTTAGCTAGATTTAAACAAATGGCTCTCAGACTTCATGATTTCATACTTCAATTATTCTTTTTAAAGCAGGATGACAAAAAAACTCTCAGATTTTGATCTGGCCAACTTTACATTTCAAACAGAAACAAAAACTATTATCTAACACAATCTCTACTTTTCTTTTCTTTTCTTTTCTTTTTTGAGACAGGGTCTCGCTATGCAGTTTAGACTGGACTTGAGCTCACTTTGTAGCCCAGGCTGGTCTTGAACTTGCAACGATCTTCCTGCCTCAGCCTCCCGTGTGCTGGGATTATAGGCCTGCACCACCACGCCCGGCACCATCTCTACTTTTAAAAAGGGATAATATTTGGACGAAAGTGAGAATGAGAACTTCAGAGCCGAGGATGGTACTTTAGAGGAATACATCTTGTATTACATTTTTCCTTCATTGTCCTTACTTTTCTTACTTTGACACAATGTGATAGAATGATAGTAAGGAAGGGCACCCGTCTATAGACCAATATTTGAAAAACTAATGCCATAGCTGCTATTCCCAACAGAATTCTGAGGCTTGATGACAAAAGTTTCTTTACTCCTAGAGGAACATTACTGAGCCTCTTTATGCTGCTCTTTGTTCAGGCTTTAACTTTTTAAAAAAGAGCTATAGAGCTAAGTTCATGGAAATGAACCCATCCTTGTCCTCTTCTTTTCCGTTTTCTTTTTTGTCTGATAAAAAAAATTACCATGAAGAACAGTTTTGTGCAAGCTCCTAAAATAACATAAAGATTCCTGGGACAGATATAAAAAATCATTTTGTATCTTATTTTCTATACCTTTACATGATAATTCTTTTTATTTTATGGGAAAAAGGTAAAACAAAATTTCATAACAAAATAATAGGAGAATAACAATAGTGTGTTATGTGTTCTTATCTTTAAAGTAGTTGCTCAGGGTACAAGATATGGGCATAAAAACTTCTCCAATTGATATTAGCACAAATCTCCCTTTTTAATGAACTAAGAGACACTCATAGTATAACTGACTTGCATTTTTTCTCTTTTCCCTGCTGTTCTTTCCCCTTTCACTCATCCTAGTTCCTTTTCCTTTTGAACAATTTCATCACATTTCACAACATCTATTGTACATTTTAGATCTTATTTACTGTTTTAGTTTCTCTCACCAGGAAGACAATATAATGTTTACACAAATGTGATTTACTTCTCTTATAAGCATGGTCTCTAGTTCCATCTATTTACCTATAAAAGTCCCGAGCTTATCCTTCTTTATAGCTGAGTAGTACTCCATTGTATAAAAACACCACATCTTTTTTTATCCATTCCTCAGTTGTTTCCAAGACTTAGTTATGACAAATTGTGTTGCCATAAATGTGGGTGCACATATATCACGATGGTATAACGTTTTTAATTCTAGGAAGATACCCAGAAGGGGAACAGCTGAATGGAATGGGACCTCTAATCCTAGTTTTCTGAGGAAGCTCCACGCTGATTTCCACAGTAGCTGCATCAGTTGGCACTCCTACCAACAGTGCAGTAGGGTTCTTTGTCCCCACAGTCACTCTAGCATTTGTTATTAGTTGATTTCTTGATGATAGCCATTCTCTTTGGGATAAGATGGAATCTCAGCATTGTTTTAATTTGCATATCTTGAATAACCAGTGATGTTGAACATTTTTTTCATATATTTATTTGCCACTTGTATTTCTTCATCTGAGAAGTGTATATTCATGTCAGATGCCCATTTTTTGATTGGGTCTTTTAATTTGGGGGGGTCTGATTTTTTTCAATTCTTTATATAACCTAGACCGAAGTCCTTTGTCTGAGGAACAATTGGCTAAATTTTTTCCCACTCTGTAAGTTGTCTCTTCACTCTGTTGATGATTTCTCTTGCAGTGCAAAAGCTTTTTAATAAGATGAGAGCCCAGTTGTTGATCCTTTGAAGTAGTTCCCTCGCAGCCTGGGTTTTATTCATGAACTCTCTACCTACACTTACTTTCCATGATAAATTTAAGACTCATTTATTCCCCTTTGGCTCAATGTCTAATAATAAGAGCTTAGAATTACTAAATGTCAACATTGGAGTCCTGATTATAATGACCATTTTCAAATTCATTTAAGGTTGATTGAATTGCTTGTGATTCTACATTTCTTCTAAATCTTACCTCTCCCCAGTTCTTGGAGATATTTCATACTTTTTGCATCATACCAGCAGTTTCACTTCTTCTCCTAGAGAGCTGTTCTGCCTGCATCTTTTCTCCACCCCTTACACACACACACACACACACACACACACACACACAGAGAGAGCTGTAGGAATACACTACGTGTGAAAGTATCCCTTACTCTGCTACTGCTGAAGACAAAACACACTCAGTAACTCACCTCAAAGTGAAAGACTTCACAGTTTATGGCAATGTTTATCGGGGTTTCCAAATCAGAAGCTTCTACATCATACTTCAAATCTGCTCTACAGAATCCAAAGAGCTGCAAAGGAGAAAGAAGCACATTCATGAGTGTTTGTGTGTGTGTCTGGAGGGGGCTGTGTACATGCACGCACACATGCACAGAGTATAAAAGTTCTCAGCCAGAGTTGTAAACTTCCAGGTCTTCAGGAAAGGAAGGCGAGCTTTAGAAAAATCAAGGTAATATTATCAGACATTATCAGATATCCCCAGCAGGTATGTATCAATCTTTCCTAGGCAACATTTGGGGAAATACGGGTTCCAAAGAGCTCTTTACAAGTTTCTACGGTTCTCATCCAGGAGCAGTCACCAACATTGGGCTTCCCCATGCATGGTGGGGAAGAACACACATCATTCCTGCTTTGTCTTCAGGTCAACACTTCTGCCCTGAGTACCTGAGTTGCCTGTGCCTAGAGAGAGAGACAAATGGTGTAGAAGATGGATCTGTGTAACTTTCACTGGCCGAAAAAAGACTGTTAAACATTGAGGCTCTGAATACAATTCTGGAATCACACACACTTGTTAATTGCAACTTCACCATTTGCTAGTTTTGTGAGTTTAGACAAGTTACACAAAATTTAAATGAGTATAAAGCCCTCTCCCTGTAGACTATGAGAGGGCTTAGGTAAGTGAGGTAAGTCCGTAAAGCACTTAGCACTGAGTTGCCTTCTTTCCCGCCCTCACGGCTCCTCACTGACCTTGCACTACCCACATGAAGGTATCTAAGACTTCGCTGGGGATGGGAATGGGGTGGGTAGGGAGGGGTCTCTTGTGGTGGCCACTAAACAGGAATCTAGAGCTGGTTCAGGTTGAAAATGTGAACAATCAGAAAAGGAAGTGTTCAGTGCTTCCTGTCTTTTGGCCAAGAAGAAATCTCAGAAAGTATCATTAAACTTCAGAAAAATTCCAACTTGAAATCAGAATTCAACTCCTGTGTCCTAAACTAGCAAAGTGCTTTTAGGTATGTGGTTAAAATTCTAGGCCTCCCTTTCCTGTTGAAATGGAGGCAGACACCTCTCTTCAGCAGGAAGTGAGGCTCCTCCCAGTCAGTAGTATAGGTGCAGGTGTTTTGTAAGCTGTATGTCTCCATGCAAATGTCAGGTAACAACTTATAAGATCCTCCAGTAGGTATGTGGGTCAATGTGTAAATGATTAGGAGAAAACCCCCATTGGACTAAGCATGAGAAAAAAAGATTTTATTTCTTATTTAATTTAATTTATTAATCTATTTTGTCTCTTTTTTGAGACAGGGTCTTGCTATACAGTTTAGGCTGGCCTCGAGCTCACTTTGTAGCCCAGGCTGGTCTTGAACTCTCAAGGATCCTCCTGCCTCAGCCTCCTGAGTGCTGGGATTGCAGGCATGCTCCACCACGCCCAGTGAGAAGGATTTTAATCTTAGCTCGATTTCGAATATCTGTAAGAACCTCCCTTGCTGAACTTTGGTTACCTACTCCGTGCTGGGTGGGATGAATGAGCGTGCCTAGTATATATAGGGTCTTGGTAAAAGCTGTTAGTGGGTTAAAAATCTCAGCTTTAAATTTAAACATATATCACATATATTCTAAAATCATAGTCTCATGAAGTAGAGCACCTAGCTGCAGGAAGGGCTCTTTAGCTGATATCAGTAGGTCACAGACACTTATTGTACTCACGTTAGGTCCTCTGGGGAAATGACTGTACGCAGAGCAGTTCCTCACAGAGAAATCCACAAAGTAAACAGTTCCTTCCCCTCCTCTCTGTAACAGAAGGAATCAATAAATTTTCAAGAACAGGAAAAGTAGGGAACAGAGTAGCAGATACCTACTGTCCAATCTATTGCAAATTGTTGTGAGGATTACAGTCACCAATCTGTGCCATATTTTTTATGGTTTCTGCCTTTTGATTTTGATACAGGTTCTCCCTGTGTGGTTTAGACTGGCCTTGAACTCACTATGTAGCCCAGGTTGGCCTTGGACTCCCAGCGATCCTCTTCTGACTTTGAAAAATGTATCACATTTAAAGGGCAAAATAAAAGACAAAAGAAAGAAGGAGATAGCTCTTATGCAAATGGGAAGCAGACTAAGAGATGGAGAGAGAAGGTAAGAGGGAGGGAAGGAGGTGTAAAAGAAAATCAAAGTACATCACATCCATTACTGACTCCCCATGACAAATGCAATCATGTATTGCAAACAGGAGCTAATAAAAATATGTATCACACGAACCGGGCATGGGGGCACATGTCTGTAATTCCAGCACTCTGGGAAGCTGAGGCAGGAGGCTTCTGAGTTGAAGCCCAGCCTGGATAATTTAATAAGTTAGCAAGACCCTATCTCAAAATAAAAAATAAAACATGCTAGAAATATAGCTCGGTGTAAAGATCCTGGGTGCAATCCCAGTGTGCGCCCCCCCCAACACATACACAAAAGGAAAGAAAGAAAAGAAAAAATCATCACAGAAGGAATGAGGTAAATATCATTTCACTGAAAGGATTCATTATACAGACAAAATCAAACACAGCATCAAAAGATCACTGGCACTCAGGAGGCTGAGGCAGGAGGATCGTTGCGAGTTTGAGACCAGCCTGGGTTACAAAGTGAGTTCAAGGCCAGCCTGAACTGCATAGCGAGATCCTCTCTCAAAAAGACCAAAGGGGAGAGAAAACAATTGTTCTTCCTGCTGCGCACCTGTGTTTGAAGTGTTTCTTCTTCTAGCCTTTTCCTGCTTACGTTGCCTGTATACAATGAGATTTAAGTGTGAACATAGCTTACTGCTCACCATTCTGTAACCCAAGTTCCCCCTCCATAACATGTCCTGAAACTCTTCCCGGTATACATGTGCAGGAAACATCTTTTCTGGTAAGTGCATTGTGTTCATTCCACGGCTTGTATGTACCATCCTTTACTTAACTTTGCATTTTCAAAATGCAGGCAAACATCAAGCAGCTGCTCTCTCAGGTAGCTCCGTCAGGGTGGGAGGTGCTAGAGTCCTGGGACTGTAAGCTTGGGGACCATCTAACTCCCTAGACATACTGGGTGTGGTAAGATTGCTTCTCCGAGCTTCCCTCTTCTGCTTTTTCTCACTCTGTTCTGTGAGCCAGGGTCTCACTATGTAGTTCAGACTGGTGTTAAACTTCATACGGGTCCCAGGCTAGCCCCGAACTCAGGGTGATCTTCCCACCTCAGCCTCTAGACTGCTGGGATCACAGGCATGCGCCACTATGTCTAGCTAAAATTGCACAGTTTTTAATGATTCCTATAACCCTAATACATGCTTGTCTTTCCCTCTTTACTATTTTGGGTTTTCTCTCTTCTTGACCCAGCTAGCCATTCCTCCTCCCCGCAGAATAAAAAAACCTGCAGAAGATCAGGTCTATGGGATCTGCCGTCCACCTCTCACAGTAGCTGCAAGGGCTGCCGCAATTTAAAAGGCAGCAGACAGACTGAGGCAGGAGGTGTGCTCACACTGGCCAGCGGCAGCCCCGGCCTCGGCCTCTAGCAGATGTTGGTGGAGACTCACCGCCCTTATGACTCGCGCTACTTGGTCCACTCTGAAAGAAGCAAAAGCATCGTTCTCGCTTTTGTACTTGTCAAGGGCTTTGTCCGCTTGTTTTCTGAAGGGCTCAGTGTCCTCGAAGAAATCGTAGAGGACAGGACTGTCTTTGGTATTGCGCAGAGCTGACGAAACTAGAGAGAAGATGCCGGTGTCTTGGTTACAGGGTCAGAGGCAGCAATGCCAGCGTCAAAACTCAGTGCAGTGTACATCAGCGTGGTAGCGAGAAAAACAATCACTTCCTTTACAGATGGGCAAATGGAGGGTGGGAGGAGCAGAACAACTTGTTTGAGAACTTCTGATCTTTTCTTCTGACACTACTGATGTCTCTATTGGGAACCCTATTCATAACCCCCCCCAAAATCATACAATGCTAATATTCTCTTTATTTATCTTAGATTTTTTAGGAAACAGGATCTCCTTGTTACTTTTTGGCTGGTCTGGAAATTGAGATCCTCTTGCCTCAGCCTCCTTAGTGCTGGGATTATAGGAATGCACCACCAAATCTAGCCCTGATGCTACTATTTAAGTGAACTTTTCTTTTTTTTTTTTTTTTTAACCAAGAGGGGAGAGAGCACCCAGAACATAAATTTTTGCCCAGAGAGAAAAAATACAACTCAGTCTTTCTTGAAAGTGATCTGCAGAGATTGCTTGGCTTTTGACAATATTGAATCATACTGTGCTTTGCCATTTTAAAAGGGATTCCATGATAACACTTTTGGAAAAAGTAAATAAGAAGAGCGTGGACTTTAGAGTCGACACTGTTGAGAAAAACTCATGGCTTCATCACACATGGCTGTGTTCCCAAGGCTATACCGCTGAACCTCTTCCAGCTTCAATTATTTTATCTCTGAAGCAGAAAGTCTCCAAATTTCTCCTCCACAGCCATGTGTGATAATATAAACAATTTCTTCATAGACTGTGGGGTATTACACAACTTTTAAATGTTGAAGCCAATACTTTTTTTTTTTTGTCTTTTTTGAGACAGGGTCTCGCTATGCAGTTCAGGCTGGCCTTGAGCTCACTTTGTGACTCAGCCTGGTCTCAAACTTGCAGTGATCTTCCTGCCTCAGCCTCCCAAGTGCTGGGATTACAGGTGTGTGCCACCATGCCTAGCTGAAGCCAATACTTATTGAGGGCTAAATACTTTGCATAATATTTTGCATAGACCACCTTGTTTAGCTCTAACAAAAATCCTCAGAGCTATTTTATTATTATTATTATTATTATTATTATTATTAAATTATTGTACAAATGAGAAAAGCTGAAGAAAGTTAAGTAACTTGTTCCGAAGACCACAGAACTAGTAAATGATAATGTTGAGATTCAAACTCAAGCAAGTCGAAACCCAGAGCCTATGTCTACAGTAAGATTACACTACTTCTTGTAAGTCTCTACCTACATACATTGAATTTCTTTAAAGGGAGCTATCCCAGTAACAGGGGAAACTTATCTTTACGTTCTCAGAAGAGTGAGTATAGCAGGCACCGTGCAGACCAGGCCCCCTTCTGATGTATATCATGGTGTTGCACGATGATTACCCCTGTGTGGCTGAGTTCTACATTAATGTGGAATTAATTAGAAACATAACAGAATAGCATACCAGAACTTGTGGTGCAGTTAAAGGCATTCACTATGAGATCCTGAGTTTCATTTGAGTATCTTGTAGCTATCACCTTACACTGTCCGATCACCTGTAAAAGAGAGGGTTTGAGTCTCGGCACACTGGCTCCCTTTATTGACGAGGTTGCTGTAAGAGAACACGCTCTTGCTGTGCAGTGAGAGTGTATTTGGGTTTCCTTCATCAAACCCTATCCCAAAACCTGCACTTTCTTAGTCTGTGTGTATTGCACACGCGTGGCACCAAAAACCCCTCATTGGGGAAGCTGTATAAATGGGCTGTGATCATGACCGTACCCTAAACATTTCCAAGGGAAAAAGCACTAAGCCTCCTGGGGGTGTAAAGCTCTCATTTTCAGGTGGGATAAAGTGCTGCTCCACTGCGTATCTATCCTTGCATCCAGTTCCCACAAAGAGCTTGTACAGCAGGATCCTGTTCCTCACTACAGTGGATCCTTTTGGCCATTCCTGCTAATGGGATCGGCCCTCGCAGGATTCATAGACCCAGAGATTGCGAGGGCTGGAGATGACCTTGGAGTTCATCCTCCCCAAGCCCCTCCTTATATTGCAGAGACTGGAGTCTGGGGATGCCGGGTGATCGGCCCAAGGACTCCCAACTGGCCATGCTGTCCCAAGAGGGAACAAACCTTGCTGAGGTACCTTGAACTGGGTTCGCAGGAATGGCTCTCCAGAGAGTTCTAGTCCAAGTCAACATAATCTTCACGAATCTCTCCTTCTCTGGGATAGCTCCAGCCCGGGGCTTCCAGAGTAAGCAGAGTAGTGAAAGGTACAAATGCTAACAGGAGGGAGGTGGGACCTGGTTTACTTACTATCTCGGATGTTCGTCTAGAAGCTGCTTCACAGGCCTCCAGGTGTTTCCCAGATAGGACCCAACAGTCAGACTCCTGCACATCTAAGACTAAATAATACACAGTTGCAGGTTCCTGAGGAATGTTAAGAAAGCAACAGGTGAATAGGATGTGGAGCTCGCGGGTTTCCCACAGTGGTGCTTTTTTTTTTTTTTTTTTAATAAAATCAATTTGTTTCTCATAGAGAACTCTTGCTCTTCACTAAGTCTTTACAAATGTCTTACCTTTGTGTCACTTGGTCCATTTATCTGAATAAATAGCTTCACATAATTATTTTCAATTGTTCTTTTTAACTGGTCATGATGTTTCATCTGCCCGCAGGCTTTGAAAAGCTGTCACTACCTGCAGTGTTGGTTTGCCTGGAGCTGTTGGAGGTACAAGCCTAGAATTGTAAGTGGAGGCATCCACATCACCATCTCTAATATGTGTTTGTTACGGTGTCCTCTCGCCCAGCTCTCCTTGTGAATTTAGATTTCCCACCTTGATTTTGACTTGCTGAAAGTAGAATATACACTTTTCTCTTCTTTTTTTTTTTTTTAATTTGTTTGTCTTTCTGAGACAGGGTCTTGCTACGTAGTTCAGGATGGCCTTGAACACACTGTGTAGCCCAGGCTGGTCTCGAGCTCACAAGGATCCTCCTGCCTCAGCCTCCCGAGTGCTGGGATTACAGGCGTGCGCCACCATGCCCGGCTACTCTTTTCTCTTAAAGACCTCTTTCAAATACGTTTCAACTCCCTGCCACTGGCCATTAATTAATTAGTGTCTTGAGTTCTGGCTTTTTTTTTTTTTGTCTTTTTGAGACAAGGTTTCACTGTGCAGTTCAGACTGGCCTAGAACTCACTTTGTAGGCCAGGCTGGCTTCAAACTCGCAGGCATCCTCCTGCCTCATCCTGAGGAGTGCTGGGATCATAGGTCTGCATCACCACCCCTGGCTGGTTCTGGCTTTAAAGGCGTAAATCAACTCAGATTTCCTCCTGGTCTTTCCTCTGGCTATGCAAAAACCAGGCTGTGAATGATCTTTCTTTAAAATGTTCTCATGTTGATTCTTGGTTCCCCTTTCTCGATGCCTTAATTTCCCTTCCCTGAGCCTGGGCTTCATTTCCTCACTCCTGAACACAAATACCTTCCCAGTGCACGTCCCTGTCACCAGCCTCTCTCTCCCTAGGCACACTGTGTCCCCCTCCCCATCCCCACTGTTCACGCTGCCATTTAGAGACGCTCAGCGGCCATTCATCCCGTGTCCCACCTACACGGCCAAGAGCCCAGAATGAGACTGACAATCACGACATTGCTTGTCTAATCCTAAACCTCTCTGGTCCTCGACTCTGTGTTCTGCAGCTCCTTCCTCTTAATACTTTAGAAAGGGAGAATTGCTCTGCTTGCCGTTTGTCGTAGCCCATGGTCTGGCCTCCCTGATTTTAATTTCTTCACTACTTCTCCACAGCCTCTCTCAGGCCGTCACATCCATTCCAAATAACCATGCGGTCTAAGTGAAGAGAGCAGGCTCGCCTGGCTTCCCATTTTCTCTTCCCACTTCACACTGGTCTCTGGTCTCTCCAGAGCCCGTACTGTATCTCTAGACCCCCATCCACATATTCAATTATTTCCTAGCACCCCCTGGAGTCTCTATGCACTTAGAAGTAAGGCCTGAAATTTGCCTTGAAGAACCCTTCTCCACATTCTCTTCCTATTCAGATCTACCCATTCTTTAAAACCCAACGGAAGCCTTCTCCCATTCAGTCCTAACAGGCCGCCTTTCATTAAATTGTTCCAATAGCTAGTCCACATATCTGGGCACTGAATATATCCTCTCTTGCACTCTTTGCCTCTGTACATCAGGTTATTATATCCACGAGGGCAAGGCCTACCATTAATTCTAGTTTCTCCCTCTCTCCCCCTTTCACCTTCCCCTTCTCCTCTCTCTTACTTTCCCCCCCCCTCCCATCATCTTCTCCCCCCTCCCCCACTGGTCCTGAATTCCCGGGCTCAAGTGATGCTCCCACAAAGTGCTAGGACTATAGACCTGTGTCAACAAACCCAGTTTTTAGTTTTTCTAAGTGCTTAGCGTTCAACTGGGCTCAGGACAAATTCAAAGTATTTCCAGATTTATTCATAGTTAAGGACACAGCAGTAACAAACACTAATCCATCTTAGGGCAGCCCAAGAAACCGAACAGAGAACCCTGGTCAAAGCCATTGGTTGCCCCAAACAAGAGTTTTAAGGGCTAGAGTCACACTCAGCCAGACATGGTCTCCCAACGCAGCTCTGCCATTGGCCATTTCTCACCGCTCTATCCAAGTGGGCATCAGCGACCCGCAGCAGCAGGAAATGATAGCCACTCCGTCGCCCTTTATTGATCAGCTCTAGAGCTTTCTCAGCCTCAGGCTCAGCAGCAGTGCAGTCGGTGGGGCTCAGGGCCCAGGAACACTGGAGTGTGACCACAAACAGTGCTGCAGTGAGCACCCTCATCACACTTAGCCGGCCCGGGCTCTGGTCTCCCATAGCTGAGAATTTAACACAGATTTTCCGGAACACACACTCACACACACAACGGATGAAACAAAGTCTTTATACATTTTTGTTGTGTAACGGGATGTTTACCTTGACCCCTGGTTCAAATATCCATACACAGGCTGTAAATGATTAGTGGATCCTGGGGCTAGAAGGTTGAAACACTCCTGGTGAGTGGGTGAAATTGGCTATGCACTAAGCTGGCTATTTCTGGTAGGAAGTAGACCCAAAGTGTGTCATTGACCCTAAGCACTGCCTATGTGGGAGTAGGTGGGTAGGATTTGGAGTTATTTTTCTCCATCTGCCCGTTTGACTCTGCTGAACATCTCCACCAGCAGCCATCTCTTCGGTTTATGGCATGAAAACTCACTAGAAGGGAATTGCATTACCTGAGGGAGGTAATGCGCTTGAGGGTTAACATCTTAATGGCAATTTATGAGCCAGCACAACACCACACGCCAGCTACACACAGTACCACACGCCAGCTACTCAGAGGCTGAGGTAGGACGATCACAAGTTTGAAACCAGCCTGGGCAACTTAGCAAGACGCTGTCTCAAAATTTAAAATGAAAAGGGCAGAGGAAATAGCTCAGTGGTAGAACAACGTTGGGTTTGATCCCCAGTATCAGAAAAAGAAAAAAAAAGAATAGACTTTAGGTAGAACTGATTCTTAGTATCTTCATTTCTAAGATAGGGATTGGTAGCTTGTGACAGGCTTGTGTGATATTAAATAAGGAAACATACACAAAGCAATGGGTAAATTCTTCGCACAGACTAGGCCCTGTATAAATGGTGCTACTGAGTGCTGTTGTTGGTTTTGGGAAGAACTTGGGGGGCACTCCCATATCACCCCAGTTTCCTGTGGCACTGGAAGCACGCCCAAAACAGTTGGCTCATGGGTAAGAGGACTGTCGTAAGAGCCGGAGTCAAGCAACTGGATGTCCGTCCCCCTGTAAGTAGAGCTCCGCGGGAGGTACAGGGCTGAGATACAGACAACCCGCTTCCAAAGAAACCAATGTACTCACATGGAACCTCCATACCAGCAGGGGTCAGCAGTCTCAGAAAGGACCAGAGGAAATCAGCCCAGGTCCACCAAAAATGGGAACAAATAGCTCTTTAGCAGCATCACCCTTCTCTGTATTTTCTCGACTGAGAGTTTGTAGCAGCGGATCTTGGCCTTGGCTTCATGTTACAATGATCCAAGGAGTACCCAGGACTTATAGGAACAATTCAGTCAGAATCTCTAGGGTGGGCCCAGGTACTGGTAATTTTGTTTTGTTTTGTTTTGTTTTGTTTTGTTTTGTTTTTTGGTTTTTGTCCGGTACCAGGAACCGAACTCACGACCTTGCGCTTGCCAGGCAGGCGCTTTGCCGCTGAGCTAAATCCCCAGCCCGTACCAGTAATTTTTAAATTTCCAGGTAATTGCAATGTGTGATCGAGACTGAGAACCACTGGGCCTCTAGACAGGACCTCTAGATTGGAGGAGAGAAAGCGGAGAATCACATGAAAAGCAGATCCCACTTCCAAGGGTCCCTGGTGGGTTTAGTGACTGATCACATTTAACAAAATGTTTGGCATTAAACTTTCAGTATCAGCAACACCGGATTTCAAATATCCAAGTGGAACCACTCCAGCGTGACTCAGAATGACAGGAATAGTAAGGAACCTGCTCTAAGTGTTGTGAAGAAGCTTCAGCCCTCTGGGGAATGGGAAAACTATTGGTTAAAACAAAAACTGCTTTATATTTCAATGAGTTGAGCTCCTTAATTAAACCACTCTATTACCGCTGTAGCAGCCTCACCCAATCTGCAGTGCCTGAGTGAATCAAATACTGCAGTAGGGCAAGGGCAAAGCCAGAGGTGGCACCAAGTAGGAGAATGTGCTTTGCCCACACTACTGTCGTGATGCCAAGACTTGGGAGTGCGTTTGGGTTCTGTGCATCCTCTTTACCTTGCTGTTCTGAGTCCTAAAGAAAGATCCAGGGCTAAGGGTGCCATTCTGGAAACCGGGGTGGCTTCAGGTGAGGTGTCCCAGGTAGTTAGAGATGAGAGGATGGCGGCAGTGGGGAGGAGGCAGAATAGATGGTGAGTAGAAAGATCTTCTGTCCTGAGGAACTACAATGCTAACCTGTGGTATCTGGCCTCTGGCAAGATTCCTGGACAGCCTGGAAGCAGAGAACGCCCTCAGATGTGACACAGGGAGTGGTAGCTTTTCACAAGATGGTTTGTGGCGCAGACTGGAGTAGACAGATCTTCATTTCTCTGGTCTCACTCAGCACTCAAGTGATTTTTGAAGTCTTGACTATGTTATCAGAAAATATTTTTTATTCCTTCAAGCTTTTTTACTCAGAGTGCATTCTCTTTTCAAAAAATATAGAAAACTATAGAGAAAATTCACCTCTAATTAGACAAGCTCGAGAAAAGTTCAGTATAAAGTTTCTTCATAAACATTTTTTCTATTTGAATATATATATTATATATGTTTTGCATCATTGGAATTATTCTGTAGATTATTCCGTGGCTTATTCTATGTTTTATGGTCTTCACTGTTATTCACTTGTGTATAACCTACATTAACAAAACCATGTAAACTTTATAAGTGTTTTTTGTTTTTGGTATCAGGAATCGAACTCATGACCTCAGGCTTGCCAGGCAAGTGCTTATGCCACTGAGCTATATCCCCAGCCCTGTTTTTGTTTTTTTATAGGATTTTTTAATGTTATTTTAATCATATAACTTTTAGTCATACACATAAATCCTGTACAAAATAAAACAAAGAGAATATTACAGATTGTTATAAAAATGAAGTCTCTCTTTGCTCATCCCCAACCATTCCCCAGAACTTTTAACAGTTCCTGTTATATATGGTTTAAACATCTTATTTTCCGTTAAGGTTACACTGTGAAGACTTTCCCAAATCATTACATATTTGTGGTGGATTGACAACTAGTGGTCAACTTGAAACACCTCGCTGAATTGAACAAGTATGGTGTGAGAGGGCAACCTGAAGATTATTGTCAGTAGCATAAGAGGTAGAACTGGAGAAGAAGAGATGTTAGGGACCTGTTAGTTCTCCTGGAGGAGCTTGTTATGCTGGTTCTCCTGATAACTTGGCTGTTCTCATCATTGAAGGAGACTGGGACCTTGATGTCACTGGGAATGGCTGAGTTTCATGTTGGGGGAGCTCTGGTCCTCACTCTGAGCATCACTTCCTGGCTCTGGAGGGGAAGATGGTGCACTGCTCAGTCTCTTGGAGAAGCCTGTTGTGCTGGCTTTCCTGATAGGAGCCTGGCTGTTATCAGAGGAGCTCGGGACCTCGCTGTCACTGAGAATGGCTGTAGTACCTTTCGGGGGAGCTCTGGTTCTGACTTTGAGCATTGCTTCCTGGCTCCAGTGCAGATCCCTCAGCCTGCTAGCATAGATCCTTCATCTGTCTGGCATAGACATTTTAGCTTCCACTGCTGACCTTTGGGCCTTCCCAGCTCAGATCTGAGAAACAGACCTGCATGAGGTGTTGTCATGGGCTCTTGCCCACCAGTTGGATTCATGGGGGGCATTGTTTTGTGCTCTAGGTGTTTAGCTGAACTCATGCAAGACATTACTATGGGATCCAGGCCCTCAGCTGGATTCTTTGGTCTTTAGTGTGTGGACAGATTTCCTGCACTCTTTTTGTATATGACTCTGGGTGACTTATAAAAGAATTCTATAAACTATGTGTCCTGTATTGTATTATTTCTCCTTGTTAACCCCAAACTACAACAATATCCCTCATAGGACTGAGAACATAGTTCAATGGTACAGCACTTGCTTAGCATGCATGGAGCCCTGAATTTGATCCTCAGCACTGCCAAGAAGAAAAGTATTCTTCAGAAAGATTATTTTTAATGATTATGTGATATCACATATTATGTTTGTTAATGTTGTTTTGTTTTGTTTTGTTTTTGTGGTACTGAGGATCAAACTCATGACCTTGCGCTTGCCAGGCAGGTGCTTATGCCACTGAGCTATATCCCCAGCCCCTTGTATTTAATATTCCCTGTTTGGGGACAGGTATGTTGTTTCCAGTTATTTGTTCTTATGGGTGAGACTACGGTAGCTATCCTTATAAATCACTGATTATTTTTTGGGAACCACTGGATCAGTTGGTAGAATTCTACAGCATTCTGAGCTTTTTGGTTGCTTTGATAGTACAGAGCACTATGGGTGCTTGTGTTTTTGTTTTTGTTTTACAAGAAGAGTCAGTTTTTATCAGACATTTACTATACCTATTTTGATTTTCTTTTTTAAAAAATGGACATGTTTTAGAGCAGGTCAGGTTCATGGCAAAAGTGAATGAAGAGGACAGAGAGTTCCTCTGTCCTTCCCACTTCCTGCCCCCACCTACAGCCTCCCCCACTGCAAACATTTGAACCCAGAGAGGCAAACTGGCCACAGCCAATGAACTTGCAATCACATGTCATCACTGAAAGTCCACGATTTCATTAGGGTTCACTCTTCAGTCACCAGAGTACATCCTGTGGATTTGGGCAAATATGTAATGACATACACGCCTCCACCAACACAGTGGCAGTTAAAATCATCTCCATTCCACCTATTCATCCCACCCTCCTTTCTAGCCTCTGGCCACCACTGACCTTTTTTTATTACCTTTATAGTTTTGTTGCCAATTAGCCTAAGGTTCTTTTGTTCGGTTCAGATGTTCCAGGAAGTGTGAGGGTGCACAAGGGTCAGCATTGCTTGAGGAGGCTAAGTGAATGTGAATAGAAACCTTCCTCTGAATTTTGAACAGGGAGGTCCTTGGGCAATGCCCATCTATTGGACTCTGGGAAAGAGAATTCATTTCACAGCAAGCTGATGAGTGAACAGGGGGTAAGGAAGAGGCAAGCATGGCAACAACCTACTTTCTGAAAAATTTAGCGAGGGGAAGGGAAAGGACATGGTAGTTAGAGGAGACACAAAGACTAAGGTCCCTCCCCACCCTTTTTTCAGTGCAGGACAGTGGTACAGAATCCCTTTGGAGAAAGCCCCAACTTGGGGCTTATGATGGTCTTTCTCTGTTTGGGCCCAGGTTGGCCTTTGTTCGAGTTTTTATGCCTGGTCCTATATCACAGGCTGACTTCTGGGATCAATGAACCCAGGGTCCCTTGCTGGCCGGTTTACTTTTGGGTTCAAAGGGCCAACAGGAGGAAAACACTAGAAGGCGTGGGGGGGGTATCTTAGTTAATTTTCTCATTGCTGAAACAAAATACCCAACACCTAAATTTAAAGGAGGAAAGGTTTACTTAGCTCACAGTCTGTGGAGGTTTCAGTCTGTAATTGGCTGGCTCCAAGGCAGAGTGACTTAACAGGTGGGCTTTGCAGAGGAGAAACAGTTCATGGCAGGAAGAAGGCAGCAAAAGCAGCAAGCAGCAAGCTTTGACAGCAGCAAACAACAGCAGCAGCCCTCTTTCTGTCCCTTGTATTTATCCAGGCTGTTCACCCTTAGGGCGAGTAGCACTCTCACTCAAAGGGGGAACCCTTAATCCTACCATCACATCCTTTATCCTAGTATCACACACGCTAGATCCAGCCACCTCGAAAAAGCCCCACCTATAGATATAGGACCTCCAGATTATACAGAGGAAATTAAATGTATCCTCCAACCTGCTAGATATCCAATACAAGTTTGCGCTCTCCAAAGTCAAGAAATAAATTTTAAGGAACAATGGAGGTTAAGAGCCTGAAAATTTATTGAGAGAGACAGCTCCTGAGAGGCAGACCAAGTGGGTTGCCGAGGCCCCCACTTCACAGAGGAAGTTTTATAGAGCAAAATCACGAGGTGAGTACAACGTGGGCTAAAGCTATGATCAACCAGTAAGATAAGTATAGCTACTTAGGTAATATTGATCCAACGGGGAAGCAGGTCACATAGCAACTGTGTATGTGGAAAGAACACAGAACTTTTCAGGAAGGGATGGGTCTGGGGGTCCTGGTCACCCACTGAGGTGACCGATGTCTATCTAGACTTTATTGGACCAGGTGTTACCACATATCTTATCCCTTGTGAAAGCATGTAGGCCTAATCATTTTGCCTTTGTCTTGAGGCCTGGCGTCCAACCAATGCACCCTCAGCCACAGTTGTACTTTTTTTTTTTTGTCGTTTTGAGACAGGTCTCACTAATGCAGTTCAGGCTGGCCTTGAGCTCACTTTGTAGCCCAGGCTGGTCTTGAACTTGTAACAGTCCTCCTGCCTCAGCCTCCCAAGTGCTGGGATTACAGGCGTGTGCCACCACGGCCAACCTGTAATGTGTTTTAATCTTTTGTATTGAGTCTCTCTAAGGCCTAGCCCTGTCCAACTGCCTATAATATTTCTACCTAACTCAGCTATCTATTATACTGTAACTACATGAGACTTGCATGGGACATCTAGATACAAGCCATAACAATGCAGAGGGCAGGTGTTTGTCCAGAGCTCCTTCCCACACCTGCATCTTGCCACCCAAGTGTCTCCTGCCCTTTCCCTCAGCTCCAGCTCCAGCTCCCACAGGGCATAGGAAGCCAACACTTCTTCCCCAGCATGCCGTGGAAAAGGCTCCAGCTGCTGCCATTCTCCAGGCGCCTAGCACCCCTTGCTTCCCCTCATCTGACCTATAAGGTCTCACTAAAGGGCCTTCACTCATGCCTATAGAGTTGGATCATCTAAGTGCCGCCTGCTTCCCACCAGGCCCTCACTGGAACTGAGTATAAGAACTGACACAATGCCCCACAAATCATCAATGTGTGGCAGGTAAGAGTAATGGAGTGTTGGCGTTGTCTCCTCCTATGTAAGTTATGCAAGGTTGATGTGCTTTTCCTACAACTGAGCAGGATGGAGCCCAGTCCTTACATCTGCAAATTCTGTCAAAACATCAAAGTCCTAATGTGTGTGTATGTGTGTGTGTACACATAGGTGTGCTTGTATATATACTTCCAGTTGAGCGGAAATTTACCCTCTGATTATTTTAAAAAATATTTTCTTCAGTGAAGCCTGTAGGAATTAAACCCAGGGCCTTCACACTGATCTACATCCCCAGCTCTTTTTCTTTTTTTTTTTTTTT